GGGGGGGGGGGGTCTCGGCACGCCTCTTATCGCCCGGTCTGATATGGTCTGATCTCACCGTCTGTCTTTCTGAGGGTCATCTCATCTGCCTCGTTTCTGAATGAGGGATGGGGGGGTCCTCCCTGTGAGGCCAGTTTAGGACAGCGGTGCAGGGATGTGGGGCTTAGGACTGAGGGTCGTTGGCCTGGAGTGAGCGTCATGTGGGTGTAAGGGGCACACCCTTGGAGACCATGGGCCCACGGCCGCTGCACCAAGTGCCCCCCCACCAACCCCGGTTGGGCGGTGCCACAGGCCCCCAGGAGAACCCGGTCATTCCTGGCTCCCAGGCAGCAGGGCATCAGAGGTGGCAGCCGAGCCCTGCATGCTCCCCGAGGGGGCCGAGTAGGTCTGCCTGAGGTCACAGTTTCAGTGTGTATTTTGAGTATTTTCAGCCGTGTGTGCACTGCGGGGACTTGGCCTGTGCACTGTGTGTGCAGCTCATACTTGGTGGGCTGTGTAATATGCAGAGGCGTTGCCAAGGGCAGCGGAAACGTGGACTTTTTCCAGCATAATCACATGAATCTACCACCACCCGCCCCTGCCCCCAGCCCCGTGCCGTCCCAGCCAGCTGCCAGGGTGCTGCTGGGGTGGAAGGATGACAAGGACCAGTGCTTCGGCCCCTGGATGCTTGAGGACAGCAAGGTGTCCAGGGCCAGATCCCCCTCCGGGCTGCATCCTCAGTGTTAGGTGGGTCCCCTTTGGGCTGGGGAAGCAGGGTGGCGGCTGCTCTGGATGCCCTGCCAGGGGGAATGGGCGTTGGGGGGAAATGCAGACCAGGCAGGCAAGGTGGGTCCTACGGGGAAGGGTCACGTTCCTATAGGGCTGGGGAGGGAGAAGGGCCCCTGGGGGCCAGCCCGGGGCCTGAGCTTGTCCAGATAGCTCTCGGGCCTCACTAGCTCTGCCTTCCCACCTGGCCCTTGAGCTGAGGCCCAGGATCCCGAGTCTCTGGTTGCAGTGACAGAAGTTTGCTCACGCTGCCAGAACAAAGTACCATAGACTGAGGGGCTCAAACAACACATTTTCTCCCAGTTTTGGAGTTTGGTGTCATCAGGGTTGGTTTCCTCTGAGGCCTCGCTCCTGGGCTCGTAGGCGGTCGTCTTCTTGCTGTGTCTTCACGTGGCCGTCCCTCCATGCGTGTCTGTCCTAATCTCTTCTTATGAGGACTCCACTCATAGTGGATTATAACTTCCTCTTAAAGTCGTTAAGAGGTAATTATCTCCAAATACTGCCACATTCTGAGGCACTGGGGGTTAGGACTTCAATGTATTAATTTTGCCGGGGTGGGGGTGGGGAGATACACAGTTCAGCTCTTAACACCAACATATGATCAAAGCCGCGTTCTCCCGGGGCCCAAGCCAGAGGTGCCTCTCCTGCAGCATCCTTGTTGGCCACCCCAGCCCACCCTGGTTGGGGGGACACTGTGGCTGGGCCGGGGGTCTGAGGTCCCGCACAGGCAAACAGCTGCATCCTGGGGGAGGCTCATTCTGTATTCAGCTCAGCCCCAAGGAGAGGAAACCGGGGCTCTCGGGGATGCTGGGGGCGGCTCCCCGTTTGCTTAGCTCAGGGGCACGCAGTTGCCACGGTGACCTCTATCTGCGCAAACACACACAGCCCAGCCACTTCTCCAGGCTCGAGGGCTCCCCACCCCCACCTCAGAGTTCACACTGAGTGTTGAGTCCCTTGGTGACGAAAACATGGAAACGGTTGCCATGGCAGCCATTCTTTGGAGCCCTCAGACTGGAGTGCAAAGTTGAGGATGCCCAGGAACAGCTGAAATGAAAATATGGGAAGATCCGCCACTTCCCTCGCCCCAGAAGGATGAGTCAGATGGCATTCGATGGAGGGCCCAGCCGTCCCTGCCCCTTCCCATCACCCCGGGGCTAAGCGTGGGCACAGGAGGGGAACGGGGAGGGCCTGGGGAGTGAAGGTGGCACAGTGGCCCCCAGAGACCTTGAGAGGCCAGCCAGGCCAAGCTGTGGGTGGGCCCAGTGCCCAGAGCGAAGTGGGCAGGTGATTACCTCATGGCATTCCCTGGGGACATGTCCTCGTGGCTGGAGCGCACCTTGTCTCGGTCCCTTCACCTGTAATCTGGGGAGACAAGCTCCTTTCTCAGGCGGGCTTAGGTCCACGGTCTCCAGCCTGTCCAGGCGTATACAGGACGTGGTGGCAAGGGGGAAGGCGCCATGTTCTGACCGTGGGGAAGGAGTCCACGTTTCCCTCGGACGGGGGTTAGTACAGCAGAGACCTCTGCACTTAACCCCGGGAATGGTTGTGTGTCTCCCCCACCCCCACCAGAAGTTCCCCAGGTAGGCTCCATGGGGCTCTGGTGCCTTGAGATGCACCAGCCAAAGGATCCTGCAGTCAGTTTGGGAAGCCAACACAGGTGTGTGTGCACAGTTTGTAGATTAAAGGCTCAGAAAAGTCCTGCACTAAGGCGACTTCCTTTGTTTAAGCCAGTATTTCACCTATTTGAGCAAAATCCCCCTCCCTTAAAACAAAAGAGTATGTCCTCCTTTTATGAACTATCTCTTAATATCCTGCAGAAAGAACATGTTAACATTTACTAGAGCTTTGATTCTCAAAGTGTGTTCCCTGGACCCGCAGCATCTGGGAATGTGTGAGGTGTGCGGTCCTGGGCCCCAGTCCACATCTGTTGAATAGGAAATTGGGGTGAGGCCAGCCATGTGTTTGACGAGCCCTCCAGGGGATTCTGATGCCTGCTCCAGCTTGAGCACCCCTTCTACTCAGGGAAGGAGGAGCAGAGAATTGATAAGGGAGGGGAATGGCCTAAGGACTGGGAGAGGGTCAGGAGGCCAGGGAGACAAGGCAGTCTGGCAGGGATGGGAGGTGGGCAGTACAAGGATCCTGGCAGGGATGGGAGGTGGGCAGTACAAGGATCCTGGACTCTGCAGCGTCTGGAAGAGACGCTGCAGCCACCCTGAAGGGCTGTTCAGCATGCACCGCACCTGGGCACTGAGACCCCATCCTGGTTTTCTGAGATTGGATCAAGGGCAAGGTTGTATGTCTAGGGGTGTCATGAGGCTTGATGTTAAGTGACGGGGCCTTTGGAAATGCCCAGGGGGTACCATCTGAGGAGGTTCCCCCGAGCCTGTGCTGAGCGGCCAGTGCTATGCTCATGGAGGGCACCTACCCCGGCAGCTGGATTCTGTCCAGAGTTCTGGGGATGTGGTCAGAACCTACAGCACCTTCCTGGACCCTAAAGGGGCTTGTCCCCAAAGACAGTGCTGGGTCGCACCTAAAACACAGGACATACGGCTTCCTGGAACAGCGGCCTTGGCCCCAGTATCAGCTTTGCCACCACACACCCATTCCCCAGTCGGGTACCCCGTGCAGTCACTTCCCCGCTCCGGGGCTTCTTTCCCTTCTCCATCAAACAGGCCGCCCCATCCCTGGCCCTCCTGGTCGCAGGAGCTCGGGGTCCAGGCGGCACCCGTGGCCCACCCTCCTGCCTGTGCTTCCTTGCAGCCGTCCAGATCCACATCCTGAAGGCGGACAAGGCGGGGGACTGGTGGAAGTTTACGGTGAACATCATCTCCGTGTACAAGCAGGGCACCAGCCGCATCCGCCGCGGTGACCAGAACCTGTGGATCCGCTCGCGGGACGTCGCCTGCAAGTGCCCCAAAATCAAGCCCCTCAAGAAGTACCTACTGCTGGGCAACGCGGAGGACTCGCCCGACCAGAGCGGCATCGTGGCGGACAAGAGCAGCCTGGTGATCCAGTGGCGGGACACGTGGGCGCGGCGGCTGCGCAAGTTCCAGCAGCGCGAGAAGAAGGGCAAGTGCAAGAAGGCCTAGCGCGGCGGGCGGGGGGCAGCGGCGCGCCGGGCGGGCTGGGCGCCGGGGCCGGCGAGCGGCAGCGGGCGCCCCGCCACCGCGGCGGCGTGGACTTGGCCCGTGAGGGCTTTCCCAGCTCGGGGGAGGGTGGGGGCGGGGCCGGCGCGGGGCCCTCGGCGGCCCCGCCCCCAACCCCGCCCCACTCCGCGCGCGCCCGGGCCCCGGCGGATTGAGGACGAGATTTAGCTACCTCACGGGTTCCCTCCAGAGCAGAGAGGCGCTCCCCCCGGGGCCGGGAGGGGGGCCGGGGCAGGCGGGCGCAGGAGCGCGCAGGTGGCCCACAGCGAGGGGTAGAGAAGGGCACGCGAGGAGAACTGTGAAGCCCCAGGCCCACGGCCTGGCCAACCCCTCCCTCCCCCAACACAGAAAATCCCGTCCTGTACCCACACCCTTCGGGAATTCCCACAGGAGCCCTGCTTGTGACGACTGGGGCCCCCTGTGCGGGGCCCTGGGGGCATGCGGGGGCGGGGCGGCAGGATGTGCCAGCAGCCTTCCCCGGGCGGCCTGGGGTCCCCCCCCACCCCCCGCCCAGCTGACGGGTGGGCCCAGGGCCACCCCTGAGAAGCCCGCGGAGGTGCCTGATGGAGGCGGCATCGCGAACGCGAAACCTCGCAGAGAGTCTCGTTTCTGGGGAGCTGGAAGCGGCCCCTTCATGACATTTTCCGGGGAAGGGGCACGGGCGGGGTTTACGGCAGTGACGCTATTTGTGTGATGACCTCAGCTCCCACAAGGCCCCGAGCAGTGTCCACAGCTGGGCAGGGCCTGGAGTAAGGCCGTTGCGCCCGGCGGGGCAGGGGGCTGGCTGGAGCAGGGAGAGGTGCTGGCGTGCCTGAGCCGCGGGCTGGCAGGGGCAGGAACCGCTAGGGTGCTGGGTCCGAGGAAGCCGTGGCCAGTGCCTGCTGCGGCCCTCACTCCTGGCTCCTCCAGAGCAGGGACAGAGGCCCCGAAGCTGGGGAAGCCTGCTGGGGCCGCCCTCCGGGGCTGCCCACCTGGCTGTCCTGGTACCGCCTGGCAGCACCTCGCCCACTCCTTTCTGGTGGCCCCTGAAGATGGCCTCACACGGGGCCTGTCGCCTGGGGGCGCCCACTGCACTGCCCGCACACTGCAGTTGAGGCCCGGCTCCTCTGTCAGGAACTGGGTTTCATCTTCCCTGCTGGAGTCTGGCCGCTCAGAACGGTCACACCAAGGATGGAGCTCGGGCCCCGTGGTCTGGCCTCCCTGCTTCGGCCCCCGTCGCCCCTGCCGTTTACCGCGCACCGGCCCTGTGCTAGGCACTTTAGCCCTGGGATCTCCTGGTATCTTTGTGGCAGCCCTGAGAGACGGGTTCTCACCCCCAGCGTCCCCGTGCAGATAAGTGGCAGAGCCGGGCTGTCTGACCCTCCGCGGTTCCCTCGCAAGCCACAGGGGGTGCTTCTGGGTGAGTCACCCCTGAGATGCTGGCCCTGGTCATGGCATCAGGCCTGGAGCACAGAGATCAGGAAGTGGGGGCAGGGATGGGCACAGTTACAGCTTCAGAGGTGGCAGCCAGGGCCGTGGGTGAGGCCGGGTGTAAACTGACCCCGGGGCAGCCCCTGGAAGCCCCAGATGGCGGGCAGGCAGGCCGTGGCTGATCCTAATAAGGTGGAGGGAGAAAGGCTGTCTTGGGGGTGTTTGGAGGGATTCCAGAGATGCCCCCAGGGGCAGGGGGAAGACAGGACTGCCCTGGGAAGGGGTATCTGCCTTGCCTGAATCCAAGGCCAAGGCTAGGAGCGTAGGGACCGCTCCACGCAGTTGGCCCTCCAACGCTGCCCAGTGTGGGCCGAGTGCACTTAGTTGGCCCACAGGCCTGCAAAGGCCCTGCCCTGCCCAGTTGTCTGGTGTCTATTCATACTGGCCCGGCTTCTCTGCCCAGAAGGGCCACGGCAGCCTCACTACGTCCCACCCGAGTGGGCCCGAGTCTCAGCCCCCATCACCAGGGGCCTGCACTGGTCGTCTCTGAGGCCCCTCGGGCGCTGGAGCCAGCGGCCTGCCAAGCAGCACTGCATCTTGCTTTAAATTCAACCAGCCTCCAGCCTTGCCCTCCTGCTCGGCACCCCGAGAGCAAAGTAGCTTGGCCTCGAGGGAAGGCCAGGGTGACCAGATCAGCCAGTGTGGGGTGAGGACGCTGTTGGGGTATCAGTCCTCGCAGGCTGCCCTCCCCACTTCACAGATCCAGCCAGAAGCCAGCCCCCTGCTCCTCTGAATCCAGCCACCAATTGGGAAAGCACCCCTCTTCCTCCCCTCGCCCCCCCTTCCCGGGAGGAGATGGAAATAGGAATTGAGGTGCTCCGGCTTGTACAGTTAGGAAACGATATAAAATGGAACTAGATTTTGAAGAGTGTATTAACCAGAGTTGTGATATTGTAGGTGTCTGAAGAAAAACATACCAGAATAGTCTTTTTAGGAAAAAAAAAAAAAAAAAAAAAAATTCCAAGTTGCCCACTTTCTTACCTGCTGGGTGGTCTGGAGCCCCTGACAGCAGGGTCCCTACCTTTCTGACACACAGTAATGCTAAAGATTGGGGCAGAGGGAAGGGGGGGTGATGGGGGCCTCTGCCCTGGACTCACCTGCGGGCTGGGGCTTCTGTCCTGAGCCAGCAGGGCAGAAGGCAGCATCCTCAGGTCCTGGTAAGTGGGAGGCCGGGAGCTGCCCCAGGTGGCCCCTCGCACCCACCTGGCACTCTGCCTCCACAGTAGCTGCAGGAAATGGGCACAGACTGTCTTGGGGTTGCCCCAGGTTGGAATGAGACTGAAATCAAGGAGACCCTGAGGGATCTGGAGATGGTCCCTTTAAGAAACTGAAAAATGTTAGGGTTTCGACGCTCAAAGGAAGACTGGGGAGTGGACAAACCAGACCCATGGATGGGGTTACTGGGCCACGGTTCATGGCCACAGCCATGCCATACCCTAGGGGTATCGAAATGTGTGCTCGTGGGGCCTTGCCCCCGCCAGAACCAAGCCAGCCCCCCTCCCCAGGGCACCTCCCGTCCTCCCCCCGACTCCCTCCTACGTTCGGAGTTCTGTTCACTCAGAATTGTAAATGTTTAGTTGTGACCATGACATATTGTTTGGGTCAGTGTTCCTCTCCAATGCATACTAATATATTATGGTTATTATATATGAATATATTTAATGACATGGAAAATGTTGTGGATTTTTTAAGTTTTTCTTTTTCTTTTTTTTTTTTGGTTAGAGTTGTAATGGACCCAGATGGAACTTGTAACATGGGCCCCACATGATAGAACTAAATTCAGATATCAATTAAATAAACTCTTGTACACTGTTCTCTGTCTCCCAGTCTCTATTGGTGGCCTGAGCTACGGGTGATCGGCCTGTGGGGGGAGAGAATGGTGAGTCCTCAGGCCATTTAAGGAATATGGCTTCTGGTCTAAAAACTCCCCAGCACGACAGAGCCCTGGGTTTTTCACAAAGCCTGAGATGGTGCCCTAACAACCCACTAAAATAAAAAAATTAAAAAAAAAAAAAAAAAAAAAGCAAAGGGCAGCTTTGCTTGGAAGGTCCTAGGGGCGGGGCTGGCTCCAAATGCGATTTGGATAGTCTCTATTTCAGTCCCCAAGAGACCATCCCTGGGATCCATCCTGGCCAGTCCCCAGGGCTCCGGGTCAGGGGGACTCCAGGGGTGGGGCAGAGTGCACCTCTGAACCTCCCCATCTGACTCAGAACCTGCAAGTAGAGTTTCTGCCTTGCACGTAACCAGTTTCTTCTATTCACAACTAAGGGGAGACTCACCAGCAGAGACAACGGGGTTAGTGACGTTCAAGACTTTTCTCAAGCCATCGCTGAGGCTTCGTTCGGCGCAGGGATGGGGCTGGGGCCGGCGCCATGCAGCCACCAGGAGCTGAGCTCGCTGGCTTTCTGGAGGCTATATTTAAACTTCCAAATGGTTGTGATTTCTCTATTAAATAAACAATTCAGTCATTGGGAACATGTTGCGTTACCATGCAAAGTGGAGCCGATCGTCACCAGGAAGCTATAATTTCTGTACCCAGCTGTTTCGAAGACAAGTCTCAGCCATGCAGATTCAACCCGCCCCCGGAAGGCACGGAAAGCCTGTCCCCGCTGCGTGGAGAGCAGGCTGAGACGCTGTTCGCTGCGGCGCAGGAAGGAACAGGGCTAGCCCAGCCTCCTCAGGGGGTCCGGCTTTAGGAACGGGAGGCGTGCTCTCGGAACCAGGGGTCAAAACCCGGGTGGGTAGACCCAGGGGCGGCAGCACCGGACGCCGGGTAGGCAGGGACAGGTTACAGGCCTCAGGTGGCTGGACAGGCCGAGGCAAAAGCGAGCCTTTTCGGCAGCCTCGGGCTCCTTTCAAAGCCAGTTCAGACCCAGCTGGACTATTTGCAGGATTTAAGACATCTGCCAAACGCAGTGCAGGATATCAGCCAGCCTGCTGCCAAGTCCTGACCCAAGGTGGTTGGAAAAGTCCACTTTAGAGACCGGAATGCCGAGGTT